CAGATGCTTTGCAGCCCTGCGCAGTGCTCTCTACTCCACAGCAGGACTGGCTCTGCCCCTCTGCTCCCTGGCTGCATCTCTTGTCAGAGATGGCAGGTACAGCAGGGGTCTGCCTGGCTTCCCCGTGCTGCCCCCCACCCCCAGCTCAAGCAGGCATTCCCCCCTCTCCTCCTACAGCATAGACATAGCCAGCATGTGGTATGGTAACGAATGCTGAGAGGTGTCTGTGTAAGGCAGACAGGATGGTGTTCGCTTAGAGCTTTTGGAGCTAAAAGAGCTTGAACTACTGAGAGAGGCTTTTGTTTTCTTGATGGGCTGATAAACACTGTGTTACTCCCTATGTAACTCCCTGCTGGTTCCCTCACGGGTGAGGAGCAGTGACAGCATCCTGCTGGGGGCCTGGCCACACCCCGCTTCAGCTCACTACTGTGGAAGGAAAGGGAGAACTGTTCTAGTGCCTCTTGGCACTTAGCCTGAGTCACTGCAGGCATGTGCCTGCATTTCTTCAGTCCAGAGGGGATGTCTTTGCTGTTACTAACCAGTTCAGCCTAGCCAGGTTAGACTAACCTGCAAAGATTGAATCAATTTAGGCTCAGGCTTTTTGAATGTCTGTCCCTGGCCCAGATGTTTGTAATGGAGACATTGGCTGAGACGGAAGCCAAGAGTTAGAGGAGCCAGTCCGTGCTGGGGTGAAAAGCTGCACTTCACTGTAATGATAGCTTGAGTGTTAACCTGGTAGGAGCCGTCTCCTGGGTCTGGAGAGCAGTTGTTCCCCAGCAAGAGCCTTGGTAGATAAGAATATTCTCCTGCTCTCTAAATAGCCAACGTGATTGCTTGTGTGAAAGATGCTGTGCTAAGAGCAGGCTCCCTAGGAGCCCTTCACAACAGCTGTGAAAGGAACATGTGCCCCTGCAGCTGTCTGGAGTATTCATTTAGCTGGCCAAAGCCTGCAGCCCCAACCAAACTATGTCACTTACAAAAGGAAAGAGGCGTTTGGGGCTGAAAGCGGGTCAGCAACTGGCAGGAGCGGCTCCTGGGCCTCTTTGTGACCTTCCCTGCTGAGGAGTTTGGACTCCTGAATTGGGTTCTGTAGCCATGCCCAATCCTTGTAGGATCGCTCAGCAACTCAAGAACCTGCCCGCTGGACTCCGGGTTGTTTCCTCTTTTGAGACGGCTCCACTCCAGAGGGTTGTGTACCAAGCACTCAAGTTACTGAAGGCAGTCTCAAAATCACAGCCAACTGGTTTGCCCAGAGCTCTTTGACTACCCACAGAAAAACCTAGCATGTGGAAACCAGCTTGTCTAGCTGAGCCAAAAGGGTTGGTAGGACAGGGGATGTATACAGATTTTCTCATGGGCTAAGGATTGTTTTTTAGCTGTGATGCTCTGAATTTTAATATAAATTGAACCTAATTGTCTGTCTTCACTTCAGAAGTTCAAGCAGGAAGTCCCATCTCAGTACAAATACAAGGCACCAACCCCTGATCTCTGCAACAGATTGAAGTCTGTAAGGTCAGTACAGTGGTTGCAGTCACCTCTCAGCTACTGGGTTTCTAGGATTCTTGTTTGTACCTCACTTAAAACAAAAGGGTGAAATGGGATCCATCCTTAATGTAACTCTAACCCAGTGAGCTTCTCTTCCTTGTGTCCAAAGCAGTAGTGCCCTGCTGCTGGGGGAGGAGAGCAGTACCTACTGCTGAGCCCACTGGCAGCAAAGACTGTTTTCCAGTTACAGTTGTAAAAGTGTCAAGATCACTCCCACCCACCAGCTCCCTCGGAGAATGGCAAGGGGAAAAGAATCTGAGAGCTAGTGCTCTTTCCTGCATTTGGGAACTAATTGCATTCTCCCTGCAAACACCTCGTTGGGGGCGGGGGGCGCGGCTCTGGCCATTCAGTTACTGACACTGCTGGAGGTTGTATCCCCCTTTCATTAAGCTACATAAGCTCTCAAATGTATCACATGTCATCACAAAGAAATTGGCTTCTGGCCACCACCCTTCTCACTGATGATTATAAACAATTTGCAGCATTGCTTATCTAGTCAAACAAGCATGGGAAATGTAACTCTGCTTTGGCTCTTGCATCCTCCCAGTTGCTCTGTTCCCCTGCATATGCTTCCCCATGTGTTCTGGCCTGGGCATACTGTTGATACCTTGTTCTATTCTTCCCTATACATGCACCTTGCTGGTGCCTGGTCTTTCCAGCTCCTGCTTTCTTTCCAGTGTAGCAGCAGCCTCTTCTAGTGGCTGCTAGAGTGACTCCTTATTTTGAGGTCACTCCTTATTTTGAGCTGCTCTTACAATCCCCCATGCTCTTCTTCAGAATGAAAATCTTGGGCATCTGTAAGGAAAGAAAGCGAACCCAGCACAACAAGCCATCCTTCTGGAACCATCAGTATCTGCTAGGTGGCTCAGAGCTAGGGGAATGGCTTAACTGGGTTTCACCCATCTGTTGACTGAAATTTCTCTTTATTAGCAGTATGTATTATAGTTCTGGGTGGCAGAAAACAATGTTGGCTACATGCAATTGTTTCAGTATCTTCTCTCACTGCAGCTAATGTTTGATTTGCAGGATCTCAAAAACAATGCTAAAATGGGCTTGTTGGATCCTCACTGAAGAAGCGTTGCAGTCCTGAGCAAAGTGGAGTGGCATTGAGGTGTGCAGTCAGAGGTTCTTCTGTGTACAGTACTGGTTTACTCAATCAAAGCAAACTGCAGTTAAGGTAGTGGTCTATCCAGACTGAATGCTCTGGGCAGTCATGGTACAAAGGAAGACACAAATCATTTTATACCCTGGTTCCCCAACCTGGTGGGGGTACTCTTGGGGCTTCTTTAAACACAACATGTAGCATGTGTCAGGAGTCCCTTCTTGGTGTTTTTCAGTAAACGTTAGCAACATCAGACCTGAGGTACAACATGAAGGTAACATGTTTGACCCCTTGCTGCCAGATGCTTGTGTATGGCTGTGATGGGCATCTGGAAACTAGCTGGAACAGGAAGTAGGAAGACAAACATTGAGCTGGGTGTAGAAGTTTTTCCCCTATTGGGAGTAGCGTCCTCTGTTGTAGCTGAGGCTACAGGAACACTTGAAAAACATCACAATAGTAGTTTTTGTTTCATAGCAGTGTCCCCTGCAAATTTGAAGTTTGTTTTTTTAAGGGTTATTTGGATTAGTTTCCTGCTCCACAAGTTACAAAATACTTTGCACAACTTATGTTTTGGAAACTAAAAATAAAAGCCTATTTTTAAATACACAGCTTGCATTCCCTTTCATCACCATCAGGTTCACAACTCCCCTGATCATATTTTGTGGGCAAAGCCAAGGGAATAATGATAATCTAAATTAATAAATATGGTATTCCGGATTTAGAAAGAAAAACCTGCCTATTTTGGTGGTGCTACTGTCTGTATGTAGAAAGAACCACAAGTATATGGAAACAATTGCATGCATGTGAAATGGATCTAGGACCATGCAAAACTGTTTTCCTGAAGATGTGGTCCTGTGTATTTTGTGATTGCATAATGATTCCCTCTCATTAAAACAAAACAACAGTGACAAATGTAACAGGCAGCTGTATGGGAAGTCCTTCGACTTACAATACAATTGGTTCCTGAAAACCATGTCTCAAGTCAAAACATTGCAACTTGGAACTGGTTTTCCCATAGGAAACAACGGGTTCTTGGCTGGCGTCATCTCAGGAGTCTTGGCTGCGGGTTTTTCTGGAGTCTTGTCTGCTTTCTTAAAGAAAAAGTGTCTAAGGAAGTTTGGACAGATGTTCTCCAGGGAGATGGGCGATGCAGCGAACTTGTTCGCTGGTGTGGCATCGCATTGGGTCAAGCGTTGTAAAGTCAAGTTGAAACGGACATCACAAAGTTGAAACAGGGTGTCAATTTATAAATGTAAGCGTGAAATGTTGTAACTCATAATGTTGTAAGACTGCCTGTATCTGCAACTTGGAGGAGTGTGAGTTGCCCTTTATCTCAGTGCACTGGTAATTCTGAAACCTAGCAGTAGGCAATTAAATGACCGTGTTTTTAACAAGGTCGCACAGCCAGAAACAGTGAGTGAAATGCATTAATCTCCATCATCCAGAACACCTCCCCCACATCCTCACCTTTCCAGCTGCCCAGGCCTTCAGCTCTCCCCACACCTGGGTAAACACCTGCAGTGCAAGTCCAGTTGCTTCTTTTTAATACCAAATTCTGTAGCTGAATAAGGGCAGCACAAAGTAAATGGGATGCAGCAGAAGAAACACCACAGGGAACACTGTGTCACTTGGATCAGTTCATGTTCTAATTTAATTAATCAACAGCTCTATTACTTTTAGCTGGCTGAAAGCTGCCACAATTTTCAGCCTGCCACACTGGAGGGCCACATACTTGGCCACAAGGTCCCATCACTCCCAGACCAGTCTTTGCCTTCTCCTGGCAAGACAGCCATTGCTGTGGATGCTCTGGTTGGGTAGAAGCTAACTGACTGGGCCTGCAGCTTGCAGAGAGATAAGTTTAACTGGCTGGACCTGCCCATTCTGTTAGTTTGAGGGGACTGACTTGAGCTGGCCCATAGGCAAGATTCCAGTTTGTCAGATCCCCATGTAGTAAGCAGCTTGGATTTCATCACATAGCTGCTCTCGTCCTTACCACCCCCTATCCCCAGTGCAGCATAGTGCAAATGTTGTCAATACTTGCCAGTACAATACAATGAAAGCTCCTGTGCATGTACACAAGCAAGCTACTGTCCCATGGCTATTATTGCCAAATACTTACAGCTGAGCATGCATCCAAACATACAGCTGCTAGAGGAAATGGATCAGGGTGATTGCAAACCCAGGCGGTTGCCTCTGGCGTTTTGGTTTAGCCATCTGGAGCGTGAAACCACCTGGGCACTTGTGTGGAAAGCATGGATAATGGTGAAAGGTGGCAAGGGACGGTCCACCTCTGATCGATCAGGAATTCTCAGCAGCCCCAAGGGGGCGGGCAAGCTACTTTCTGTCACTGTTTCCATAGGAAGCACTGACGTTAAAAACCAGGAGCAATGGTGGGATGTGGAGCAGTCCTGGGGCCCCCTCCAGTATTTCTCTGCTGTCCTGTCTATGCAGCATAGATAGCCGAGTAGTTCTTGCAAAACATGGACGTTCCTCTTGCACTCATTCGCAGTGTTGTATTGGAAATGATCGCGTGCAGTGGCATCCGCTAGCTCACTGGCCCTGGGTGGGTGCTTTTGATCCCAGTGCCGCAGTTCTTTGGTCTATGGCTATGTTGTGTGCATTCTCAATAGTCTCTTCCATGACTTGCAACAGGTCCTTTGCTGTTTCTGCTCCGGGCTTGAGGTGCAGCTCCTCCATAGGTCCCATGGCACCATGTGGTTCCTGTTTCAGAGTGCCTAGAAAAAAGCCCACATGCGTTTGTGTTAGCAAACATGAACAAAAGCATGCCTACGGTAGCCTTCTGCCATGGGAGGGCTCAGTGGAGAACTAGACTTGGCAGCATCACAGCTGCAGTTTAGTAAGAGGTACTATATTACTCAAGTCCAAGACAAGGGTCCTTCCTCCCCCCCAGTTCAACATGGTGGGGGGAGGGGAAGAAGGGGGCTGTCTTAGATTCAAGTACGATTGGGGCAGATAGCTCTGGCCCCAACCCAGGGGAGTTCCTGTGGTGTGGGCAGTGGGGAGAGCATGCAGTGTGTGGCCCCAGGGGTAGCATGAGGGAGATTGCATGGTGCACATTGGGGGGTGAAGTGGTGACTGCAGGAGAGATTGTGAGGGAAGGGGAGCATGGGGGAGACTGAAGGTTGTGGAGGGGGAATGTGGGGGAGATTGAATAGCAGCAGGGGATTTGCTGCAGCTGCAGCTTTGACCTGGGGCTGAGGCCAGGGCCAGAGTTGCTTTTGCCACTATGTTTGCTCTACATCCCAGGCCAGAGGCAGAGCTACTCCATAGTGCCAGGTAATACAGTAGTGGTCCTGACGCTCCCAGGTTTGGGTCTGCCTCCACGGCGTGGGTCAAGATGTAAATGAACATGGGGCTTTGGTGCCTTCCCTGCTTTAATGCAGCAGTAGGCCTAGATTCTCCCCGCTGGCCCTTATGGTGGAAACTCCTGACAGCAGTAGTAATGTGACCAGAATTGAGCTAGAAGCATTTGGTTGGAGGAAAGAGGATTGGGAATGGCCTGGCAAGTGTCAGCTTGCAGGACCAGAACTGGCATCTCCAAGCGGCACAGCTCAGGCATTGGTCCTTGCAGGTCCTCCTCCCCCTACACCTCACCACGCCCCAAGCGGTTAGGCTTAGCCTTCACTTACTCTGAGGTTCAGGCTGGGAGGCAAGCTCACTATTTGTCTCAGTGTCTGCTGTGGCCTCAGGTTTATTCCTCCGTTTGAATACAGGGGAGCGCCGCAAACGAAGAGGGATTGTTACATCTGAAGGAAACCAATTCTGTGTCAAGCATTACCACGTGGAGAACAAGGGTGTCAAACTTAGGACAAAAGGGGGACAGGACCTGTGTTGCCAGCCTGCGAGTATTTATGCCAAATGCTGCTTCTTGCAGATTCTGGGCTGCTGTGTTGAGCGTTCCAGCTTGGGCATGACACACTGAAGGAGCGGCTGTACAACAAAACTCCCATCAAGGGGCCAGATGCAGATTATCTTTACAGTGTTCTAAATCTGTGGAATGTTGGGCCAGTAAAGTGGCCATGTCTAAATGAGATGTTTACTGCAGAGTAGATTAATTAGCTCTGCAGTAAATGCCGCACATCTACATGTGCCCCTATTAGGCTGGAGTAAACTAACCGACTCCACAACAGGGTAGTACTTGTAGTACCCTTGTGCCCGAGCCAGCCTTTCCACACCACATTGAGCCAAGAGAGACCAGCCCAGGCTGGCAGGCTGACCCCGGGGTCCCTGGCCAGCTGGGACTGCTTCGACCCAGGAATTTATTGCTTCACTTGAACTGTACGTGTAGACTCTGCCAGTGAGAACTGCTTCACAGCCGTTGCAGGTTAAGGCTTAATGCCATCCCAGAGCTGCACATCTGTGATTTGCTACTAGAGAGCTAGGCTAGCAGGGGTAAGGACAAAAGCCAGAACTCCTCTGGGGTGGAGAGGGTGGCCTTGTAGCTCAGCTTGCTGTGGCTTCCCTCATTCTGGAGCCAGCCGGAGACTTGGGAGGGGAAAGTTGGAAAAAAAAAAACATTTGAAGTGAATGTGCAGGAGGGGGAAGTAAATAGAAAAAAAGAGTGACAAAGAATTAAAAAAAAAAAAAAAAAAAAAGGACCAAAATCTTGCCCATGTTTTACTGACCTGGGATTGCATCAGGGGGGAGTTTGGTTAGTACTTACACCAGGTCAGAACTGAGACCTTGTGGGCTTGAAAGTTTGCTCACGTAGCAAAGGAGAGGGAAAGGCTAGGAATGGTGCATCCTGGGATGTTGGAGGAATGAAAATAAGAGCGTTTTATCTCCCTGGGGCAGATTAACAATACCCTGGAACGATCTGTGTAAAACAGATCAAAGATAACCCTCAGCTGTAGTATAACTTTAAAACCTTTGGACACCTGTTTGGAAACTTTTGGACACTGTGAGCAGGCGATCGACTCCTACTGCCAGGCCCTTCACCCCCTGGAGGCGGAGGGTCAACAAAGGTCACCTCCCAGGACAAGGGAGGACTCGGGGACCTCCCCTTCTGTCCAGGCATGGGGGTGGACCAAGGTGGTCAAGGGTCCCAAGGCCCGCCGCACCGGGGTCCCCGCCCCGCTGGAGCTTTGCAACAGGTAAAAACCTCTTGCAGCCCCAGCAGAGCCTGCCAAGCTGACAAATCCTGCAGGCAACACAGGCTCAACTGTAGCTACTGCCCCTGCTCTCCCTAAGACAAAACGCAAAGCGTTTGTCGTGGGAGACTCCATCCTGAGGGGGACTGAGGGGGCAATCTGCCACCCCAACCCCTTAGCCCAAGAAGTCTGCTGCTTCCTGGGAGCCTGAATCGGAGACATTGCGGAGAAGATCCCTGAGCTCCTCTGGCCCACTGACCACTATCCTATGATCCTTATCCATGTGGGCACAAATGACATGGCTCAGAGCGCTCCCAGCCAGGTCATGAAGCACTACAGGGATTTGGGAGTGGGGCTTAAGGGGTTGAGGGTGCTGGTGGTGTTTTCATCAGTCCTCCCAGTTTCAGGCTATGAGCTGAGGAGGGAGAGGAGGATTGAGGTAGTGAACCAAAGACTGCAACGCTGGTGTCATCGGCAAGGCTTTGGCTTCCATGACCACAGCCCGCTCTTTGGTGAGAGAGCTCGCTCCGCTGGGGAGGAGGCTCTTCTCAGCCAGACTGGCTGGCCTGCTCCACCAGGCTTTAAACTAAGCCTACCGGGGGATGGGGGGCAATACCGCCACTGCTGGCCTGCTGAGCAACCCTTGCAAAGCCAGCAGTCCAAGGTACTCTAAGGAGCCCTGTACACGAATGCCAGGAGCTTGGGGAATAAACAGGAGGAACTTGTCCTCCTGCTTAACACAAATAAATACGATGTCATAGGGATAACGGAGACCTGGTGGGACTCCACCCATGACTGGGCCACGGGTATAGACAGCTATACCCTGTACAGGAGGGATCAAGTGGAGAAAAGGGGCGGGGGTGTAGCTCTCTATGTCAAGGAAAGCTACACGTCCCTGCAAGCTGACATTGGTGCCCAGGGTGGATGACTGAAGACGCTTTGGGTGAAAATCCGTGTGGAACATGGCACAGGGGACACTGGTGGGAGTCTACTAGAGACCTCCCACCCATGATCAAGAGCTTGACCAGGAGTTTGCCAGGGAACTGGCCAAGGCCGCATGCTCCCGGTCCATGATTGTCATGGGAGACTTCAACTACCTGGACATCTCGTGGGAAGAGCGCTCGGCCAAATCTGAACGGTCACAGTTTTCTCATGTGCATGGATGACCTCTGATGCAAGAAGTCTATGGGCCGATGAGAGGTAAAGCACTGCTCAACCTGGTACTGGCAACAGGGGAAGACCTTATCGGTGACCTAACGATAGAAGGGAAGCTGGGTGACAGTGACCATAGCTGATCCCCTTCACCATCTGCCGTAAAGCTGGCAAGTCAGTCGGCAATACAGAAGTCCTTGACTTCAGGAAAGCTGACTTTGACATGCTCAGGAAGCTTGTAAGTGAGGACCTAAGGGACCACGACCTAAAGGGGAGGGGAGTTCAGGAAAAGTGGTTGCTCCTGAAGGGAGCAATCCTGGATGGACAAGCAAAGTCTATCCCATCTCGGAGGAGAGGCAGCAAAAGGGCACAGCAACCCCCGTGGCTCTGCAGGGAACTAGCAGACCTCCTGCGTCTAAAAAGACAGACCTACAAAGGATGGAGGACTGGATCCACCTCCAAGGAGGAATATTCTGCACTGGTCCGGACCTGCAGAGAGCAAACCAGGAAAGCCAAGGCTGCAACTGAACTCCAATTGGCTACAAATATCAAGGACAATAAAAAGTTATTTTTTAGATATGTGGGGAGCCAGAGGAAAAGCAAGGGCAACGTTGGACCCCGGCTAAACCAGATGGGACAAGTGACAACCGACGCCCATGAAAAAGCCAACTTGCTAAATGGGTACTTTGAATTGGTTTTTCATCAGTCCCAACAGACGCCCCTGCCCATTACGGGACAGGAAGGCCTGGGTGAGGGAGATTCCTTACCCTCCATCAATGCTGAGCTTGTGAAGGAACACCTCGAGAGACTGGATACCATCAAGTCAGCCGGTCCTGACAGCTTGCACCCCAGGGAGCTGGCAAGCATTACCCAAGGAGCTGGCGAGCATCATAGCCCAGCCCCTGGCACAGATCTTCGAGAACTCCTGGTGCTCCGGTAAAGTGCCCGAAGATTGGAAGAAGGCCAATGTGGTGCCTATCTTCAAGAAGGGGAGGAAAGTGGATCCAGCAAACTACAGGCCCATCACCCTGACCTCTGTCCCGGGGAAGATCCTAGAAAAGATTATCAAAGAGGCCATTCTTAACAGACTGGCCAGTGGCAAAATCCTGAGGGATAGCCAGCATAGGTTTGTCACGGGTAGGTCTTGCTTGAGCAATCTTATTTCCTCTTACGATCAGGTGACCTATCACCTGGACAAGGGGGAAGAGATTGATGTCATGTATCTTGACTTTAAAAAGCCTTTGATTTGGTATCCCATGATCACTTCTTAGGAAAACTGGCCAACTGTGGCTGCAGCTTCTCCACGATCTGCTGGCTGGGGAATTGGCTCCATGGTCGGACCCAGAGGGTGGTCATTGATGAAAGTCAATTGCCGTGGTGCCCTGTGACCAGTGGGGTCCCTCAAGGCTCTGTCCTTGGGCCTATATTGTTCAACATCTTCATTAATGATGTGGACACTGGCATCAGAAGCGGACTGGCCAAGTTCGCCGATAACACCAAACTTTGGGGTAAAGCGTCCACACCTGAGGACAGAAGGGCAATCCAGGCTGACCTTGATAGGCTCAAGAAATGGGCAGACAAGAACATGATGGCATTTAACACCGAAAAATGCAAGGTTCTAGACCTTGGGAGGAAAAACCTGCAGCATCCTTATAGGCTCGGCTACACTGGCTAGCACTACAGATGAAAGGGACTTGGGGGTCATGACTGCCCACAGGCTGAACATGAGCCTTCAATGTGATGCTGCAGCTAGTAAAGCAACCAAAATGCTGGCTGGCATCCACAGGTGCTTCTCAGGCAAATCCCAGGATGTCATTCTCCCGCTGTACTCGGCCTTAGTGAGGCCGCAGCTGGAGTACTGCATCCAGTTTTGGGCTCCACAATTCAAAAAGGATGTGGAGAAGCCTGAGAGATTGCAGAGGAGAGCCACATGCATGATCAGAGGTCAGGAAAACAGACCTTATGATGAGGCTGAGAGCCATGGGACTCTTCAGCCTGGAAAAGCACAGGCTCGGGTGATCTGGTGGCCACCTATAAGTTTATAGGGGTTTTCATCAGGATCTGGGGGAACGTGTGTTCACCAGAGCACCCCAAGGGATGACAAGATTGAATGGTCACAAACTCCTCTGTGACCGTTTCAGACTGGACATAAGGAAGAACGTCTTTACTGGCTGAGCCCCCAAGGTTTGGAATAGACTGCTGCCAGAGGTGGTGCAAGCACCTACTTTGAACACCTTCAAGAGACATTTGGATGTCTATCTTGCTGGGATCCTATGACCCCTGTTGACTTCCTGCCCTTTGGGCAAGGGGCTGGACTCGATGATCTTCCGAGGTCCCTTCCACCCTAATGTCTATGAATCTGTGAACCTATACACATGCATCAAGGCCACTCTGATGCATTGTAATTACAGCGTGTCAGGGCAGAGTCAATTAATCGAGTCTGCTAGAACTGGGTAACCATTGCACTCCAGCAGACTCCAGTGTCATGTATCAGCGTCCCTGTGCTGAAAAATGGCAGTGGGGGTTAAAGCTTGTTCAACAAGCTGGGGATGCTCCGGGCACTTTAATTAAAGTGGCTCTCGGAACTGCTCTAATTAAAGCACTCCCTGCATCTGCCAGAGCATGTCTATAAATACCCTTCAGAAGGTATTTAGCACAGGTTAACACACTTTAATGGGTGAATTCTTCTGTTTTGAGTGCCTTTATGACAGTTTAAAGGTAACCTGTAATACCACCCTAATAAGTACTTCTGTAAAAGACCAAACAAGTACCAGCTCCTGGGTGTTACTCTGCAGAGCCCTGCCTATAGTGACAGCAGCTTTACTCAGGTCAGAGCTAATGTTCCATATTACATACAGACTGCCTGAACTATTTGTTATTGCTATGTTTGAGTGATTTGCATTTCTGAGAAAGGATTTCAACGGTTTGCTCAAGGGAAATATTTGGGGCTAGTTTTCAAAAGGGCTGGTGTGCAAATGCAGTCATGGGCACATCTGTTCTGTTGCTTTAGTTACTGCAATTCTACCTGCAGGGCAATTGGCTGCGTGCTCAGCTGGTCCATGCCACATACTGTTACTCTGATTTGCATATGCACAGCAAGACAAACGTGTGCTGCCAAACGCTTGAAAATTCATCCCTATTCTGTCTTTGTCCCGTGATACATTATACAGTTGTGTGGCTTTTTGTTTAGGAGCACAGAGACATCACAAGATTAGAAACACTTGTCCATTTCATCTAGTATCTTGTCTTAAAACAGTGGCCAATACCAGGTACTTCAGAGAAGGTGCAAATATCCTTAGCGGATAGTGAGTCAGGTATCAGTGTAAGATCTAAACAGGGCTGATCAACTTGTGGATTGTAGGGACCACATGGTAGCCCCCGCAAGATGAACACACATACCTACACCCCCCATCCCATCCCATCCCATCCCATCCCCCCTTTGGGCAAACTGCTGAACAGACAGTCTAGATTACCCATCACATGCACTGTGCTCTCCCACCACCTGCCCCTTCCCGGGAAGCAGGGACTGGAAGTAGAAACTGGAGGGAGGGGGGTGAGAGAGCCTGGAAACCTTGGCATTGCAGCAGGAGTGATGGGATAAGTGGCAGCCAGGCAGGGGCCTAGGGACTGCATCTTAACCCGTCATGGGCCACATGTAGCCTACAGGCCACCAGCTGGACACCCCTGCCTTAAGAAAACTGCTTCCTCTGTCACTGCTGTGGAAAAAAAGTACCGTGGGATCACTGCTGAGGTGGAAGTGTCTGCCCTGCCATCTGGGCTCAATCCTAACTTGTATCAGCCAAATATTCCTATTCTCTTGTCTAGATTTGTCAATTGCTTCCTTCAGCTAACAGTGGCAGTGCTATCTTGCTTTACATCCCTGCCACAAACTACTGCCAAGGTGGCAGTGTATCTGGTGGGTCTAGTGATTCCTGTTTGACAAGCACATTGCAAGTGGCACTTTATTACTGGTAAAAAGAGTTGGAGCCACAGTTTAAGGAGTGGTTTTAGAGCTGTTCTACAAAGCACTTCAGTAGCTAGGACTTCTTCCCTGTGCCCTTGGAGAATTAGGCTCCATGCAAGGAATAGACCTGAATGTCTCATTTCGTGCCAAATGTCTGAGATTGTAACCCCTGCGAGGGCTCGATCCAGGTATTCCACAGATACGTGAACATCCTGCTCCACACTGGGTGTGTCTACGCATGCATTCACTGTGCAGTAATTTACTGCACAGTAAATGGTTTTTAGGCCAGCATCTATACATGCAGCCGTTAAAGCACAGTAACGCTGTGTGTGGACTGAAGTTCGTCCCAAGTCAAGCCATACACACAGTGTTACTGCCCAGGAAGTCATCTACACGTGCATTACTGCACAGTAACTAATCGGACATAAATGTGATATCTGTATGATGCAGGTATCAAATTTACACCCGGTGGCGTAAGTCGCCATAGCTACCGGGCAGTACTGGCATGCACATGTAAACGCACACCCATACTGCGTAGAAATTTTTCATTACTGTGCAGTAACCTGAATTACTGTGCAGTAAATGTGCACAGGTAGATGCACCCACTGACAAGCTTAATCCCAAAACTTTTCTCCATACTTACTCTCTAGTTCAGCCATGCAGTCTTGGTCCCTGAGCTGTTCTTCATGAACCGAAATGGCTCTCCTGTTGGCCATGTTCTTCAGAGGAGGTTTGAGTTTCAGTTGATTGTCTGAAAAGAAGAGAAGACACTATCTGAGGGAAGCAGCTGCCTCTAGCAAACTGCTGAGTAACAACTTGATACAGCAAACTGAAATCCCCCTACTCCTTGTCTCCCCTCAAATTCTCCATCATATACACTGCTAACTATGACTAACTGGCATACTTCATGCTTCCCAATATGTAGCTAGGTCACAGGAGTATGCAGCCTGGCTTCCCTTTAGCTGTTAGTGCTATAAACATCTCTCCCCTCTCAGCTTTTTATGCTGGCTGTAGCTGTAGAATCCACCCACTATGTTCCACAAACAAAAGCAAAACTGAATCCAGCCAGGAGCTGCTGCTGCTGCTAATACCCACGCATGCAGTGAACTGAGCTAAAGATGGGGCTGCTAACAAGCACACAGACACCCAGAGAACAGGTTCAGACGTGCTGACTGCAGTGACATGTGCCATCTCCCTGCACATGGCCGGCAGAAATTTAATATAAAGTGGTGTGCATCCTCATTTGCCTTGCTAAGTTCTAGCAAAAAGGAGAGTCTGTGAGGTTCCTGAACCACATAAATTCAACTTATTTGAAACCTGTCGTCTGTAAGCCAGTGCATATGTAGACTTCCCCTAAAATAAGGGGAGGGCTGCTTTTCATTCCTGTGTACCCTAAAGAGCCAGCCCAGCCACAGCAGAGGGGGCTTGGAATCTATGTGGCTTCAGCAGCTATGGAACTGTGCACCAACTTCCAGGCAGCCCTTGTCAAAGACATGCAGCCTAATGGGACTCTCAGAAGTTTCACTAAGGGTAGAATCTGGCCTGCAAAATCTTCATTACCAGTAACGACACTATGAAGGAGTTGAGCTCAACTCTCCAAGCCTAGGCTGAGTCTAAAGTGCTAGCAGTAGGAGAGGGAACATTTATCTATGAGCTACATATGTGATGCTGAGCACTGACACCACATGCTTGAAAGTCCAAGGTGCCAGTCACATCTCACAGCAGCGCTGAACTCTGTGTTCTTGGACTAACTGTCCACACACATCTTTATTTTTGGGTGCGCTCCACCTGAGCCTTTGACTAGAGTGAGCTCCACCCCAGAGCTCTCCGACACCCCTGTTGAGGGATTAAAAGATGGTGCACATTCCCTGTTCCTTCATTCCTTTCAGCTGCCTGCCTGGGATGGAGCACTCTGCTGGTCTTCGTTTGCAGCCAAACCTCTATTCAAAGCCAGCACCCACTTATACCTGAATTTATATTTTATTTTATATTTTCCCCCTTTTACTTTCCCCCTCTTCTTCCCAATTTAGAAGATGAAGGTATCCAATTCTTTAAGGGCCAAGGATTTGGCACTTTTGAGCTCCATCTCCTCCTCTCTCCCTGCGTTACATGGCTTAGACATATTAGCCATTCAGCCAGGTTCAAGATCCAGGCTTTTTCTCCTGCCTTTTTGGCTTATTGTTTTATTCCTGACCAGAGAGCTCTTCAAACATCAACTCTAGAACTTCCTGTTTTCAGAAGCTGTCCCTCTTGCAAAGGACATGCTCCAGCATTTGATGCCCATTCCTGGTGTCTGTGTTGCACCCCAGAAATCCTTCTTGTCCCCAATACCACAGAAAGCAGTGTCAGTGCACCACTCAATTCCAGCCCCAATGGAAGCCCAACTTTGATGTCAAATAAGAAGCCTGGTGCATCCTCTGCTTTGGACACTCTTTACCTCTCTGAGAGCTCCCAGCCTATCAAAGACCCTCCAGAGACTTCTAGAGTCCAGGTTCTCCCAGCCTGTTAGGGACCTTGAGGACGCTTGTTGAGCACCAAACACTATGGAGCTGGTCCCGTTTTCCTGCTTTGAGGCTTCATAACCACAACCTTGTTTGGGCTCTAATGAAGTTTATAGCACTCACTGCGCTATCACCACTGTCTCCTGCTATTGATCAACCAGTCTGACATAGATTGAGTTTTCTGGAGATAACACATGCTGATATTCTGCTTCAAATATTTGTATCTGCGTTTCCAGGATCAGCTTCATGTCATCCTCAAATGGTTTAATGTACTGTGGTGCAAGCCTGCCCCCATTCTGCTCACTGAAAAGCATGTGCACATGAAATATAGGGTCTCACATAAAGGGAGAGATCATTTGAATTCACGTTCTACCCCATTATCTTTGGTAGTAGCTGTCAACAAGAAAGCTGGGTCTCAGCCCATGGCAAATTACTGCTTGTTCTCCCCATCTCTTGCAGATGGCATTTTTGGTAACAATTATTTATCTCTGCAAGTAAGGTTAGCAAGATCCACGCCTTCAAGATGCATCCCCTCTTTACTACCCTCTTCCCTGAAGAGGTCATCCTCAGGATCCACCACAAATTCTTGCTTAAAGTGGTTGCTGAGGTTAACCTGAGTCATCAGGTCTCCCTACCAGTTTTCTTTCCAAAGCTTCATACCCCAAGTTGAAGTTTACTGTATATGTGCTTGAAGTTAAGTGGTCATTGGCCTAGTATTTGCACGGGACGAAGCTTTTTTGTAAATCCCTACAGCTCTTCATAGATATAGCTTAGAGTGCTAAAGGTGCAGCATAAACAGCCTAGAGGTTAGCCCACTAGAGATCAGATTGCATGAAACTGTCACAAAACTGCCGGAGTAGAGCTACTCAGTCTACTTCCATAGCCTCATTTGCAGTGTTTCTATAAGTAGTAAGGCATTCCATGTCTTCACAAATGAAGAGCTAATGCAGAGGGCTCTAAAGCAGAGGCTGTGTTTAGCAAAGCAATCCCCCAATCATACTTCACTTTGAAGACTTAAAAATATGCCTGGGATACTGCTTTGGAGTCACGGACAAGTGAAAATGCACCTGTGGACAGTTGCTCAAAGCAGAAAAGGAAGTTACCAGTCAGTGGAGCTCTTGAATGTAGTGCCCCTACCCCTTCCACAGCGTGGACTCTATGTAGAGCTCTGCATTTGGGAAGAAACAAGGAGCAAGAAGTGCACCCTGCCCTTCATCACCTTAGTATGGAGGAAGTGGGGAAAAAGCTAAAGAGTAGACTCCATAGGTATTGCTAAGGCAAAAAGTCTCCAATACAAAGTTCAGGACTGCCCACAAATACAAGTGAGAACATGCATGGGGACAATATATCTCAAAGAACATTAGTTACTGGTAAGAAACTTCTTTTCTATAAGCCTGGAACAAGGGATGTAGAACCAAAATATGAAAGCTGATTACACATTACTTAAGGTTAATAATGAACACTGATTAGTGCAATAGCACAGCAGGTGAGGCTTGGGGAATAAGCAGACTGTAGGCCATGCAAAGCCTCATCTTCTAGAACATCTTTCTTTCCTTAGAATTGAAGCAGGTGCAACGTGGGAATTGAGGCAGCAACATCTGGGTTGCTTTGTGGGGGGTTGGTTTGTTTGTTTTTTCCTTTTCACTGTAGCTCTCCATCCTTTGATAGAATTGTCTCGGCAGTGAGGAGCTACTCAGGCACAGCAGGAGTCTAGGGAAATAGCTGGACTGCAGGGTACTGGGAATGTTCAGGCTAATGTCTCAACCACAAAACCATCCTTCTCATCTGTAACACAGGCTGTTGCCACATAGGAAAGAAGGGACCTTTGACAATTGGCATCCAGGAACCCCAGCTGTAACTCCCATTGAATTACTCAAGGGATTAATTTATATGGAACTGTAACAGGGAGTCTAGGGCTCCGGTTATTTTAAGAGAAGAAACTGCAGCAGATAGAGCCCAGACAGCTAAACAGAGGCCAGCTATAAGAACAAAGGCAGCAAGGGAACGCTGCCCATTAAGGTAATGGGCTGCACCTGCTGCCAGTCAGAAGTTGCTCCGGATGAGCTGGCTGCAAGAGAGTAGGCAGGTAAGGACTAAAGCATATGACTGCCTATTGCAGAGCTAGCTACTCTGCAATAGGACAATAGAGCCTAGCTTGGGTAGCAAAGACACTGCTAGAGCAACAGTTGTAAGCTGCCATGGAAACCAGCTATCAAGCCCTAATGAGAAGCCCCTGTGGGTGGCTGGGCACCCCTTGATCAGAAGAGACCATGCTTAGGAGACAAGCCCAGGGCTAGAAGCATGGAGGCAAGCTAGCCCTGCAAACTACAAACAAAAAAGCTCCCAGTCTGAAAGACTGCAAGAAAACGCCCAGCTGACTCCTGGCATTCCCTAGGAATGCAAGTAAGGAACTGAAGGCTTGCTACCAAGGGGATATGATCCAGGGCAGGGGAGAATTTTGTTATACCGCCAGCAGGCTTGGAGTCTGTGTGATAGAGGACTTAGTTCCAACCCAGACTACCAGTATAAACTACAACAAAGAACTATCAGGGATGAAGAGGTCCCAGTGGTGCCTGAGGGGCATGAGAGTGTTTTGAGCCCTGCCAGGGGTTGGGGACTTGGCACACAGAGCAGGCTTGAGCCCAAAAGGCGGTTCTAGCCTAGAGAGAGGCTGTGGCCTAGCAGTGGCTGAAGCCAGTCCCCAAGGAGAGTGGAGACACAGATGGGGGCCTAGTGCCTGAGAGGGGCAGACACCAGGGCCAGGGTGCCCATAATCAAAGTAGGTGAGACTGGGGCTGAAAGCCCAGAAACTACATCCAGTGCAGTGGGCCTAGGCTAAGGGTCCAGCAAGAGAAAAGGAGCAGAGGCCGAAAGGCTCAGGCCCCATCAGGTAAGAGCAACTGAATGGTGACACCTGTGAGGCACGGGCATGGCTGTAGGGGAGGTTGGAAGCCATAACATAAACCCTTAAGGTGATTAGTGCACTGGGGGCATGGATGGCCCAGGAGGGCCATATTTGGTGCCTAAGAGCATGACAGAGATCAGTAGGGTTCAGAAAGAACCCACAGATTGAGAGTGGATGAGGCCTCGCTTTCACCAGTCAACCAACTAGATCAAGGCATGGTGAGTGAGGGAAAAGGAGCCAAAGTGAAGGCATGAGTCATGTGGCCACCAAGGAGGGTCACAGCCACTGTTGGGACTTGAACCTTGCTATACAGGTACCTCATTTCTTGTCTCCAGTGTTTGCTTGGAATAGGAGCAGAGGTTGATGTCCTTCTACAGGAGGCACCAAGAGAGAAGCAAAGTCTATCCAGAACAACTAAACTAAACCCGTACTCTAAGCCCAGAAATAACATGGTGACCATTTCTTGAATTGCTTCTGCTAAACTCATGTGGCTCCACTTTACCAACTGCACTGACAAGGCAGTGAGAGGAATGTCTATAGAAGCTTCCTGAACCATTTGAAGTAAGCACCTGTAACATGATGCCGGGCACTATGGGGAAGCTCTCACAGGCATTCTGTTATGCAGGGACAGGCAGCCTTGCTCTAGGAACAAGCATCCTGTGATCTAGAAATGAGGATGGTGTTATAGAGGAACTAGAACCAAGCTAGACTTCAACCCTCCTTTAAGCATATGGCTTCACATGGGGCTTGTCCTTCCTCAGTCTGCTTTAGAGGTGGCTTTGATTCTTGAGAGACCATGGAAAATCTCCATCAGTTATCTGATGTGTGCACCTCATGCAGTTCCCATTCTCTGAACTTTAGATTGTCCCCTTAGAGAATGCAATGATACTTCCTCCACGCCCCCCACCTTTTTTTTTTTTTTTTTTTTAAGAAGTCTCTGCCTCCCCAACCCCACGCTCCTGTACCTTCAGCAATTGTGTCTACAGCTGCAGGTGAACTCAACAGTTCAGAGGTTGCCCTGGCATCTCCTGAATTGCTAATTCTCCTTGGTGAAGGCACTGGAGGGCTCCTTCCAGTCCTGGGCAAGCTGCTGCTCCAGGTCTCCCTGGTCTGCTTTTCTGTGGGGCTGCTCTGCTCTTGGATGACAAAGGGCCTCCTGGAGGGAGATTGGAGTTCAGAACACTTGCCCTTGAGCTCAGCATTTAGTTGCTTCCCCAAGGCCTTCCAGGTCAGCCTTGTCTCGCTGGGCACACTGCCCTGCTCCACTACTGCTGCTCGGCCCAAGGTGTCAGCAGGGCGACTTCGCAAAGAGGCATCTGAATAGGAAAGCAAGGAAAAGATGTGTGTAATGCACGTATGCACCTAGTTCAGCATACACCAGCAAGGGAGCACAGGAGGAGTCTGGTGCTACTTTTCATGCTCTTAACTAATGGGAGCCAGTCCCATTCTCAGCAGAAGCTTGAGGCCAATTAACAATGGCCTTCAGAGAAAGCACTAATCCTCACAACCTCCTTGAAGGAAAAAGATTGGCCACAGAGGTGCCTTGAGATAGTCTACCCCTGCAGCTTGCAAACCACTGTGGACAGCAGTACCTTGCTGTAACTGCAGCAAGACCTCCCCATGCAGGATGAGCAACATTGAGCCCAAGGACATACCTAGATGCCCAGTGCAGATTCTCTGCCCTTGAGTTGTCCTGTTGGAAGCACTGGCACTGCCTGTGCTTCCCTCTTTGAATGTCTAAAATTCCCCTCACCCTTGTGAGGTCTCCTAAGTACATAGCAGAGTGCTGAAGTCGGGGGAGGAGCAGACCCACCTGTTGATACTGAGTGAGTTCGTGATTTCAGGGAGGGGGGAGGAGAGTCCGCAGAGCTGTCCACAATGTCACCTAGAAACAAGAAACATTCACTTGCAAAGAGCAGCACTGAAGGGCAACCCCCTCTCCACTATCCATCCTACCCATCAGTGCATTTGGGATTGAGACCCAGAAGCCAGAGTTGCAATGTGACAGCTGAGCACCCTGTGTGGCAGCACTGCATGGGGCAGCATCACTGATTGCACTGCTGGCAGCACTACGGAGGCCAGTCTGGCAGCACAGCTGCTTCTGATTTTTTGTCCCCCCTCCCTGGTTAGTTACACTATTGTCAGAATATGCCAGGTAGAAAACAACAGACACATCTTTAAGGTGCAGCTCTGCTCAGGCAAGCGATTGTAAGAGCCCCCCCATCCCTTTTGAGCTCCCTCATTGCCATCCCCAAGGATGACATCCAACAGGTCCAAGCATACACAAGAAATTAGCTTCCCTTATTGCTGCCAGTCCACGAGGCTCACCATGGGATCTGAAAAATCAAGATGGGCTCTTTTCTCTCAGGCTTCTTTACTGGTAACAACCTGTAGTCCAAGCCTGTGACCCTGAGGCAGTCAGTCCTATTGATTACAGTGGGCTTGCACAGGGCTAACTGATTGCAGCTTAGCAAAGAATTCTCTTGTTGATACGTAAGAAAAAATTTCCTAGCTTCCTTGACCATGGCTGAGCAGGCTCTGCAAGGCCTATGAGAACAGAGCCCTACTCCCTAAAATCAGCAGCTCTGGCTCCAAGATGCATGGAATGGATATGAATTGCAAGGAAGAGCTCTGTTGCTTGCTTCTTAATACAGTCATTTGTTAAAGCAGAGCTTTAGACTCTCCCAAGGAAAATATAAGTTAAAGCATCTTAGTTCCAAATCAGACCTCCTTTAAAAAAAACAAACAAAAAACCAAGCTGGGTTCTGACCCAAAGATACACCCAGTTCTGTATCTGACTGAAACCTGTGGGCTTTGCTACACATGGTTCCCTCTAGAATAACTCTCCTCCTGCATAACTCCAAGTGTGGATGCCCTTCTTTGAAAATAAGAGTGCCTTGTTCCTGTTTAACAGAATCCAACCTGCTTTAATTTAAAACACTCTGAAAGTGCAGTATCTATTCTGGAATAACTCATTCTTTTGCCAGAATTTCAGTGCCTTTGACATTTGGGTCTCCAGTTAATGTGGAACACTTGCAGAAGAATGCCTTCTCTTAGAATAGCTACTGTACTCGGAATTTACACTATACCTCATTTGTGGGCCATATATTTGACACCCCCTGCTCTGCACTACTTACTCTACATTCAAATGGAGACAGGCCCTGAGATTCACCTACTTCTACATTTCTGCAGGGTCTCAATGCAAATGATTCAACCACTGAAAAAAAATCAGCCTCTGGGATAATTACTGAGCTCAACCTCAGGGCAGGGAGACTATAGGCAAGCAGAATAAGTAACTGCCTGCAAAGAGAAGAAACGGCTTTACCCTGCATCAGAAAACATTTACCTCAAATAGCCTAGCAATGAGAGATGAAAGAAAATCTGAGGCTTATTTTCAGAGGTGTTAGTATCCTCAGGCCACTGACTTCAGCTAGAGTTGTTTGAAATTAGGTTTCAACTGACTTCAGCTCAGCAGGTTTGAAATTGAGGCCCTTGGTGTGAGATAAGGGATGCAAACAGGCTGCCAAGGGGACCTGTGTCCTTTTTGGAGATAGTCTAGGCTATGCTGTGACTTGGTCTACACAGGAATGTTACATATAGTAAGGTAAGATGGGAAGGTAAAGGGCTGCTGTTCTATAGCGTAATCCTCAATGTGGAACACTTATTCCACTAAAAAAGGCCATTTTTGATTTATGTTGCTTGGGAACTGGACCACAGTTAGGTTTTATAGAGGTGGAGATAAAATCTTCAGGCCCCCTCCTGCACCACTCTGTGGTGGTGGTGCCTTGCCACAGTGGGTGTACCCCAGGGGCAGGCAATTATTTTAGGCAGAGTGCTGCTGTGGGGGGCATGGAAGGATGGGTATGTGGGGGAGGGTGTGGGGGTTGAGGGAGCATGTAGGTGTATGTGGATATGTGGGGCGTGGGTTTGTAGGGGGATGCGTGTCAGGGGAGGGTGACTGGGCTGTGTGAGAGAGTGGGTGTGGGGGTCTGCATGTATGGCAGTGCAAGGGTGTGTGTGGATGCATGTGTATGGTGGGGGGTGGCTGTGGGACTTGCCCTACAAACACACACACTGCTTGCCTCACTACACACACACACACTGTGCTTGCCTCACTACACACACACACACACACACACACACACACACACACACACACACTCACCCGGCCCCAGGGTACCCGTGCCCCTGCTCCCAGGTCCAGCGATGCAGCTGGGGGCCGCATGGTGTTGGAGTTGGCAGGTGCAGGGAAAGCTGCAGCAGGCAGGCACTTCTGGGGGCTGGGGGTGGGCCCAGCCCAGCTGGCTTTTCTCCTGACTCCTGCTGGGTTCCCCTGGGTCCCACTTCCCCTGTCTCCTGTCATCTTTGACAGGGAGCCCGGAGCAGATAAATATTAATTTTCTAAACTTTGTGTGTGTGTGTAATAACAAGATATCATATTTTCTTGCCTACAATACACACCTTTCCTCCCTAAACCAGTCCTTCCAACTGTGCATACCGTACAGCTGCAAAGATGGCCACCACTTTGTCTGGCACAGCAAACTAAAGGGTAAACTCCTGCATTATTCCTCTCGCAGCCATAGCTATTGCCTAAGTACTGTACTTCATGCCTGAAGTAGCAAGTGAGCTGCTGGCTCTATCTTGATGAAGTTTGTAATGCGGAAACAACACTATTTACAGGAACCGATATAAAGAACTACTTACACGAAAGAACTAACAGTCTTGCTACTGCTGTTGCAAGGGTCTGGGGCCTAACCTATGTGGCATAAAGTCCTTCTGGGAACAGTGTGCAGGAAGTGTTGCATCCCTGGAGATAGCCTGAGTGAAGCAGCAGGAACTTCCAACCACATTGAGAATCTCTTGCTGCCTCACTCAGGTGGTCTCCTGGGATGTCATACTTCCTAGACACTCTGTTTCCAGGAGGACTTTATCTATGTCACACAGTCAACCATGACTCTGGAAAAATCTTTTTTCTACATTCTGCCTTTCAAAAACATAGTGCATGTTTTATTTTGAGGGAGTGTTATATGTGAGAAAATACAGTATCCCCTTTCTCCACAGGGGGAAAAATAACAGAGGCAGTGAGATGATGTGTTAATTTTTCTTCTCTGAACAACACAAAAGCTAAAAAAAATAAGTTAAATTGAAAAAAGAGAACATTTTCAAAGCAGCAAGACCTTTTCCTTGTTTTTACCTTTTTTGGGAAACAGACTGATCTTTTTTTACTTACTCTAATGTCTACATGTCACCTGACCACACTAGAAATCACCTAACTTGCTGGATACAGGGCTTTTGAATTTTGTCATTTTATTCATACATTATCATTAAAAGGGTGAAGCTATCTGTCTGCTTTAAAATGTCTGCTAAAGGACATCTGCTCATTAATCATTTTAATTAACCTAATACATTCCTGGTCCATAGCAATGTGATTCCCTCTGACAAGAGGCATCAATGTCCCAGAGAGGCATTGCGCAAGGGATTGGGTAACACACTATACGGCTACACCAGAGCCAGCTGGGTTGCACCATTAATCTCACTACTTTCTTAGATGATGGAGCCAGAAAGGCAATTGTGATTATTTAGTCTGATCTCCCTAATCAGAGCCAGAGAAGCTCACTCAGTGGTTTTCCTGCCACATGAAGACTAGAGCTGGTAATAATATTGTTCCATAAAACCCCTTGTAGCACACCCCTGAAGGAAACATGTAAAGAGGCCTCAAAAGGCAGCATTTCATTATTCACATTGGAGAAGATGGGGAAATCTGAGCTCCACGTGCAGTCAGTATAAATTCTGCCACTGACTGTGCCAGAGACAGAACTCGGTATGAGTCCTGCCATATAGGGCCAGAGCCATGGCCTATTATTTATCTATTATTATCTCAGCATTTATCCACAGCGGTTGCTCCAGAAAGTTGAAGCCCCACCCCAGGAATGGCTCAGGCCTGTTGAATGGTACTCAGAAGGGAGATTCCCTCCTGGCTCCAGCTAGAGATTTAGTTTACACAGAACTGTGGAGGCAAATCTAGCAGGGCTGCACATAGGGAGGTTGGGACTGCAAGCCTTGGACCCTAAAAGAATCATCTCTGCATCTAGCCTGATCTGAGCTATTGCCCAGGATTGGAGAGCTTGTCTGTAATCCCAAGGTGGGTTCACATCAGAGCAACTGGGAGCAGAATCCCTACAATGGCAGCAGCCTCAGGAACTCCGGGGATGTGAAGCAAGAGGTTCTGGTGGCATGTCCTAGACACACCAGTGCCTGGCTGTGCAGTCTTTAGTTCCATTCACAGAAGCCTGCCTGTCCTGGCACAGTCTCTCCCCAGCACAGAAAGCAGCCATATGCACAGTGAAATGTACACAGATGCAGCCTCTGCCTGACCCCAAGGAGTTTTAGTGCCTGGTTCTACTACCTTGTACTTTTCAAATATGTCCTTTTGCGATTCTTGCTTATACAGCTCCACCAGGAGTGGTGCTAGTTTGGAGAAGGTTCAAGCAGCCACCGATAAACACCAAGTTGTCTGACTGCTCAAAATGGATCTACCCAACATAGAGCTTAAAACACCAGAAGCCTGGAAGTGCCCTGGCTATGGTGGCCTTCCCACCTGCTGGTGCCACCCCCAGGTAAGCTGTGCTTGGGGCTGCAACAGGGGGAACTGCTGGGACGTCTCCCCAGAAGCAAATGTCAGCTACATCCAAGGATATAAGTTACATGCTCTTGACTGCTGTCTTGGAATTCCACAGCCTTGGCTTGGAACATGACTGCTCAGATGGAGACTGCTGCTCAGTGAAGGAGCCAGGGGATCGGATGTTACTTACCATCTGAACCAGCCTTCTTGATCTCACCATCTTTATTCTGCAAAAAAACAAACAGAAAGAAAACCAATCCCATGGAGAACCTCCTCACCCCAAGGCACAAAGAAGCAGAAAGGACTGGTTCTGGAGCTACCCGCATGCTAACTACATGGAAGAATCAGGCAAAGATCAGGTGAAGTTGAATGCAATGATGATCCCCAATGGTTGCAGTAGTCTCCCTGTAGATGGGCGGGAACAACATTCACTGGGTCGTTTAAATTAGACTGCCCAACCCAGAGAACTGGCTTGGATAGGACCCAGGAGGCCCTTTCCTATTGCCTCTGGGAGCAATGGAGACAAAATGGAACAGGCAAAATTAAGCAGGTTTTTCAGGGCTCCATGTCCTCTCATGGTCTCAGGGATTCTCCCACAGATATGTCCTGACATACAACCCTGACTGTTCCTTAGGGACACTGTTGGCCTTTCCTGCAAAAAAGCAAGAGTTCTCAAGCACTCTCTCCTTCACCATTCCATTCCACAGACACTCTCCACTTACAGCACAAGACTATGTTAACTACAGCTTTTGGTAAGACAAGACCTTGAGTAATCTGCACAGTGTGATTGATATAGATATCAAAGAAGACTTTATACTAGCTAATTCTTGTGAGGCTCTCTCCCCCCAAGCCTATTACCCTTGATTAAATGAATGCCTGTGTGGAGAAAATTTGCACACGTTCTTCACGAAAGAAAGACTTGAATCTTAGAAGCTTATGTGCCACTGAAAGTCAGTGTCACTGTGCTCCTAACTTACTTGGGTGCTTTGGAAGTCTCCAGCCAATGAGATCATATCTCCAATTGGTCCAAAACAGAAACCATATTAGGAGAACTTGCCACTGACTAAGAATAAAAATAATTATCTCCATGCTCACTACTTCAGAAGCGTCTTTCCTTGAATGTCCTTTTTTCTATTGTCCAGTGGATATTTTGGCATCATGAGGACCCAAGAAAGGCCCCTCGAACAGTGGCTGTATAATCTAGGAAACAGAGTGGGTAAAAGGATTTGCTTTCTCGGGGTGTGGGATGGAATTTTGACCATTAACCAATTGCCAGTGCCAGGGATCCTCAGGTGCAAAGAAGGGGAATCCTTTATATCTCTAAACAGGACATCCACAGAGGGCAAAGATGACCATGGGGCAATGAGCAGAACACTGGAAATCATGTTGGAATTTCTCCAACTTGGAATCACAGCAGAGGACAGCATAGAGGCAGAGAGCAAATGCCTCTGTGGAAAGAGATCACACTCACGGTTGGCCGAACTGCAGTGTAACATCTCAGCATTTCCTGCTGAAGCTGTGGTAGGCTTTGAAAATGGAACTGGCTGTTCATTAGAGCTCTCCAGTGACAGGCCAGGGCAAGATGTTTGTCACAAGGTGAGCAGCACTGGGGCTGCACATGGAAGAAGTGGAGCTACCTGTGCGATAAGAGGTGATGGGGCTCAAATTTACAGATCATCCAGACTCAGAAATAGCAGGGCTTGCCTTAAAGTAGGCAGGCAAGGACAGAGCAGAGCTTTTACTTAGCTACTAAGGGAAGAATTTGTAAATACCTGTGAGGTTAATGAGCCATGAGAACAGCCACTGGCTGGAAAATCAACTCCCTAAAGGATGACATGTAAAAACAGAGATTGCTTGGAACAGATTGTCTGAGCAGCTCTCTCAAGGAAAGGGAACTGCTAGGAACATGCATTTGTTTAAGGAACTGTTACACAGAGTATGATTTAGAGAACCCAATCCTGACAGGTGCTGACCACATACACTATTTCTGTCAGTGGATCAGACCCATGCTGTTTGAAGGGAATGCAGCAGAGATAACTGGGCTTTCATAATGCATTTGTTACACAGCCTTGTGAAAGTTTACTTTAAAAATGACTTCACAGTGGCTTGGAGAACCTTCCCCAAGGTCTTGGAACTGAAAAAAAGAGACTGCTCAGTGCAAGAAGGTGCCCAAAGAAGAACAAAAAGGCTCAAAATAAACAACTGCCATGAGAATCCAGCATATTATTTATGCCTGACATCCATGCTAAACTTGAAGAGGATGTGAACCTTGGTACCCTGGACTTCATGGACAAGAAATAGTTAGCCTCAGTCAGAAAAATGTAGTTCTTTCTACATTGGGAAGAACAGGCTAGCACATAAAGAGGCAGGCAAGTCACAGCCTGCAAAACAGTTAAGAGAAAAGGGGCAACAAATTAGTTAAGGGCTTACAATGCGAGTATAGTAGCATCAAATGTCAGTGCAGACACATTACCATCCAGGAACTGCAAGGCAACAGCTCTTTTGTATGTGGCACAGGTTTGTCTCCACTGAGAATACTGAGTGCACTTCTAGGTTCTCCATCACAGAGACAGGGAAGCTCAAAGAGGTAAAGCAGCTAGAAAGGGATAGGAAAGTGCAACCTATGAGGCAGGTTAAACAACCAAGCTTCTAAATAAATTTGCTGAATACCATGTTGATGAGGGAGAGGCCACGCAAACTGCAAAAACTTCTACACAAAGGTCTTGGTCCAAAGCCTGGTGATATTAATGGGATGCCCTCCATCAATGAGTGTGGGCTATGAATCTGGCCCCAAGATGGCAGAGGAGTCATTGGGGGTGGTCTAATGAGGTGCTGCAAAAAAGCAATACCATGAAAGGCAGCAAAGGAAAACAGAGAGATTGGAAGAGAGGGAAACTCCATCATGTGCATCATTTAAAACTAGGCAGTATAAAGCCCTGGAGCACATATATGGGTTGTGTGATGGATTGAATGACGTCATACGTCTTTTGTAACTCTTAACTTCTAGGACACGTTCTCTTGGGACCACAAATGGGCTGCTTATCCTCTCAAGCCCAAATCCATTAGTTACAGGAGAGCCATGCCATTGTGATGAGCAGGGATCCTGTTTTCTTCTGTTTAAAAATTGCAAAATCCCTGATAAAAACACAAATTCTCTTATTAAACCCCCCCAAATCTGTGTTTTTCCTCAATTAAAATGAAATGCCATTATATATATAGGTATCAGTTGAACACAATGTTTTATTGATATATTTACCATTTTTAAGCAATTTGGAAGCCTACCAGTGCCTCAATCATTATAATAAAATAAATTCTAAATACCTATACATTTTGGTGTTTGATTTGGGGTTTTTATCATGGAAAAATCAGAGCTCCCCCTACCCGCTTCGCTCACCAGAACATAGGCCCAGCTGCAGCTGTTCCACACTGCTGCTTTGTAGGGCAAGAGCAGGGCTGCTCAGCACATACTGTTTGTTGCCCCTCGCTTCCAAGCCACAGGCTGCCACCAGCCCTGCTGGGGAGTCCTCACTCCTCAATGGAACTTGGCCAGCGTGCAAAGGGAAACCCACCACTTACCGTGTTTTTCTCCTTTAAAGGGGAAAATCCATGATTTTCTCCTTTAAAAGAGAAAATCTGCGTTTTTCTCCATTAAGGAGAAAATCCGCATTTTTCCGCAGCAATTGGAAAACCCAGATCCCTGGTGATGAGGGCCTGTAGACACAAGAACAATATTAATGCTCCAGGAGAGAGGACTATCCTAGTGAAAACAAATAACTAGGTCTCAGGGGAAAAGTAATTATCTCTATAGAAGGGCTGCACATTTCCCTCAAAGCATCTATGTTCTGGAGATACACTAATGGGAATAGGGGATCCAACACCTGTCAGCTTTCAGAGATGCTCCACTACCAGCACCAGAGCATGCTAAAGTAGAGGAGAGAGAAATTACCCTGCTGCTCCCTGCCCCTTGTGTTCTGCAGCAGCTGCCACAAAGCATCCCCATCATCTGCTTCTCACATTAACTCAGGATAATGTCACCTTTCCCCAGCAAAAAAACTTGAAGGTTTCTGTGTACCTAAACCAGGCACCTTTGGGTGCTGCAAGATCCTTTTAAGGGTGCTGTAGCACTGTTAGGTGTGCATTTCCTTTCCAAAGACACCCACTCTTTTACACTGATTTCCATTCTTGGCCTCAAACACTTCAGCCTTTCAAAGCAAACCTATAGATCAGCTCTATCTTTGCCCATACTGTTACATGGCATTGCAAATTTTCATAGGAGCATAACTCAACCAGGCCTCTTAATCTGTGCCCACAACAAGCTGCAGATGTTCACAGTAGCTATATGTCTACCATTAGTGTCTACAGTTGCCTGCAAACATGGTTCCTTGTGCATGAGCAATGAGAAACAATTACTGAAAATCAGGGTGGCCATATTAAAACAAACCATTTCTCAAATCTCCAAATAAAGTGCCCAAGCCGCTATTAGCTTGCCCACCAGAGGCTACAACTCATGAATTTTACAGACTAGTTTCCAGTTACTAGTTGCCCATCCATAGCAAACACTTTAACTATCCCAGTTTTCTGCATTATGGTCCCAACAGCCATCCTCTTTCAATCTGGTAGACCACTTCACTCTATAACACCCTACAGCTCCACAGGCAAAGAGTGGACTATGGAGCAACTCCTGCCTCTAAACACACAGTTATCTGAATTGGGTAATACATGTCAGACTAGAACAGAATGCATAACAGAAGACTTACTGTTAATTTAAAGGGGTGATCTGAGAAAGAGTATGGTCAGATGCCAGAATGAGTCACTCTATTATTTTGCCAGCTGTTGAAGTAAACATGCTACTGGCACAAATTATCAGGCATGTTTCCTCCCCAATCTCTATGCTCATTCACTTTCACTTGTTATTAGCGGGCAAAAGGAAGTTACCAAGGAGGGAACAAACAAAAGCAAATGAATGACCATTTCACAGCAACAGAATGCTCCTTCTTCTCTACTACCTCAGCTAAAGCAGAATCAACATTAGCAGCATCAGGCCCCTGCACAGGTTTTGTTCCAATTCCAGCCAGGACAGGGCAATGGCATACATGCACATTAACCAGGTTATTATGAACAGTTGGTAAGCCTGCTCCACTTGGATTTTACTTCACTGTCAGCTGGAATGCAGTTGGGTTTCTAATTGTGGGACTATCACTTACTAGGAGGCTTCATTTTCCTCTGAGACCATGTGACTGAGTTTAGCAAAGAGGTTTGGGAGGGGGAAACCATGCTCAGTTCTGGGCCATGCCATTCTGTGGGATGGTTTGTGTCGTACTGCAAATGTTGTCACAGCCCCAACCAGAGCTGCAGGTGGCAATGGCGATGTGGGACTTGGAAAAACACAGAGGCTTAGCTCACCTGCTTCTTCTTGCCCTCAGAGGACAGAACCTTGGTGACCCCAATGCGGTGGAGCATGACATGGACTCGCTGCTCAAAGGAGTTGGGGATCTCTCCATCGCTCTTCTCAAAGTGCCTTTTCTGAGGACAAACAGAGCAAAGCTGGTTCTCATGGCTGAGAATGACAGAGTAGCGTGCAAACTGGTGGGGCTAGAGACCCATTGCTCTAGGTAATGGGATGCTAGGGTAAGATTCTGCATTCTCTCTCAGAGGCAAAGCACAATGTCTGTAGCCCACAGCTATAAACCATGTTTGTGCCATCCCAACTGTAGGCCATTCTACAGACCCTGGTGTCACTCAAACGCTGTGGGGGTCTGGCTAAGTTATGATGCCCCTCATGAGCTGCCCCTTGGGCTTCTGCAATGTTGGAATCTCCACAGTGCTGTGTCCTCACCCTAACACACCCCTTTTACCCTGCCCTTGCCCCTTGTGATATGTCCCCAAGCCCCCCCATGCTGGCTGCCATCATGGTTGGCTGTTTTTCACAGTGCCTGAATCCAAGAATCCTCCCTTAGCCAAACTTGGGACTTTTAGGGCCCCTTCTGTACTACTCTGCACCTTTTACCCATTGAAAAGGGAGGGAAGAGGGCAAGGGTCTCACCTCAGGTACCTAAGCAAGTATTGTCCCTTACTTTATCCTACCTAGTCTGAGGCATGCTGCCAAGAGACAAATCCCATGATGCCAGAGGAAGCTGTCTCCAGGCATGGATTTTACATGTCTCCTTGGCCACACTGTTGGTGCCTGTGCCTCTCTGGATATCTCCCCTCCCTCCCCAACCAGCAGCAGATTTACAGTCAATATCACTCCTCTCTGATACAACCTGCAAGCCCAGTGATTAGCTCATTTTCTGGCTGTGTTTGCCTGCAATTCCCCAGTCCAGCCTCAACACTGGGAGTATACCCAAGTCAGTACTACTGGCTGCCATGGGACTCCCCTTGGTCTCCCTCTCATCCTGTTATACCTTACCAGCTGAGACAAAGTGAGGACTACACTGGGGCTCAGCTGCATCTGGGCTGGTTGGCATCACCCAAACCTCCCAACTGTTTTACAGACATCAAGAAGCAAGAGAGCATCACATCTCCACCTGTGCTCATGTCCTTCATGCATGCACGTAACAGATTCTGTCTGTGGTGAAAGGCAGCAGCCCTTTCCATGAACATCTAAGCCAAGCCAGGGCTGATTCATCACAGCCTCATCCCTCACCATCCATCTACCTGCCCCTGATCCATCACTCCTGAAAGTAATGGGAGTCTCTCCAATGACATCAGTGGGCATGGGACCACACTTGCCCCTGTGTAGCTACTTTAGGCTGCAGAGGTGGGACAGTCAGAGAGAGAGAGCCAGGGAGAACCAGCTTAATGAAGCAAGCCCTTTACCTTCCTTGTCTAGTCCAGGTCTGTCTCCTCTCTACCACAAGAGATAAATCTCAAGCAAAGGCCATCTCCATATTTCTGCTCTCTATCACAGAGTTACTTCAGCAATGTGCCTGCCAAAAGCCAGGGGCCAAATCCCCCTGCCAGAGGTGAATCAGGATTTTGAAAAGGGGAATGTGAAAGCAGCAGCTGGGGTGGCTGTATCCTTCCCCTCCTAGCCCCTCTCCCCGCAACACTGGGTTGAATAGACCATGCCATGGACTTTGTAAGTCCCTGAATCAGGTAAGAATCTCTCCCTTCCCCTCACTGCTCTCAGCACTCACTCCCCTCACCCTTTTTACTTAGGCCTCGGGGCACAGGAAGGGGCCACTGTCACAGTCACTCCTGCCCCACTGCAGCTGGGACTGTGGGAAGTGGCTGCACAGGAAGCTGGGTTCAGCTGGGGACAGTGGTGGTAGCGGGCAGGTTTCCCCTCCTCTAAGGTAGCAGTATCCCAGGGAGCAGTACCCCAGGCTGGTGGGGAACACCCAGGGGGATTGAGCTGGGTGGAGAACCTGCCCACTGCCACCACTGCCTGCGTCTCCAGCTGAGCCTGGTTTCCCTGCAGTCGCTTCCCAGAGCCCTAGCTAGAGCAGGGCGGCAGCAGCTCTGGGGCTCCTCTTGTTCCTGGGTCAGCTGAGGACAGTGGCAGGTGAATGTCCCCTTCCTGCACCCAGAGACATAAGTAGAAAGAGAGATGGAATGGGAGGGAAGGTGCTGCTGAGCACAGATGGGAAAGGAGTTGCCTTACCTGCTTTGGGGACTCAAAAAATGTCCCCAGCTGCTGCTCTCACACAGCATGGTCCAAGGGCCCCTGGTCCCCAGGGCTTCAGGGAATCAGTCATCCAGCTACACTTGGATCCACTCCTGCCCTGTGCAGGGAGGAGTAGGGCCTGAAATGCCACAGTCAATATACTAATGACACAACAGCACTGGGCAGTGATTTCCAGGAGCATGGGTTCTCTGGGGCTTAGAGGGTAGGGGAGTTACCTTTTCATGTTTCACTCCTAGCACCTCCTCATCCTCCCCAGATAGGAGTATGAGTGACTGTGATTTGCCTTCTCTGGAATACTTGGGCCTGATCCTGCGGGCAGCATCAGGGGTCTGGCTGTGTTCTGTATCAGCTCTGGGCTCCACGGCCAACCCACCCTCTTCAGATTTGCTCAGGGGCTTGGCAGCTTCCCCTGCCTTACTCGAAGACCTTAAAATGTCACTCAGCATAGACTTCCTGCCTTTGGCTGCCACTGGGCTCCCCTCAGGTTCCTTCTCACACTTGGAGACCCTGGTGGACTTGGGCTTCTTGAATGCAAAGAAGTTTCCTATTTTCTTCTTGAAGGTCCGGGAGCCAGAGGACGTGAGAGGAGCTGAATCTGGGCAGATTTCCAGTGCAGCTCGGCTGTGATAAGAGAAGTCCAGAAAGAGTTAGTGCAATTGCAGACTGGAGATATGAAATGAAAGCTGGAATTGGGGCTACTGTACTCCTGATGCCTCACAGTCCTGAGAGTTGTGGCAGGCTCTCAGATGTTCTGCTGCCTGTCTGTAGCCTGAGGGAGTCTGCCCATTCTCTCTACAGTGAAGGGATAGGAAAAGGGAACCAATCACACCCCTCAGAAGACAGTGGGTCATGAATCCTGGCTCAGAGGTTGGGACAAAGGGAGCCCCTGCTCTGCTCACCTGCTGGCTGTTTTGTCGGCTTAAAAGTACTGACCACTAAAAGTGGGAAGATCAATGGGCAAGGCAGCATTGCTGAGCACAGCTGCTTGTGTTCAGGGCAGCAACTCCAGTCCTAGCTCACAAGCATGCTGTCCAGTACAAGGATGGGCTACCTTCCAGACAACAGGACAGTGGGTTATTAGGAAGGACTGGGAGAAGAGGGCTGGTGTAGAGGGATCCCTCCCCTGGGAGATTTATTGCAGACTTTCTTATGCTAATTACCATCTCCATACTGGGAGTCTCATTTTCAGAGGCACAGCCCCATTCTTAGTGCCACAAGAGGCTGGATTAATGCAGCCCTGAAACAGGCAGTCAGCAAGGTCAGCCCTGGGTGGCTGAGATGCCAGCATTCCCTGGGCCAAAGAGGATTCCTGCCCACAACACCTATGCTAGTGCTGCCCGGGCCTCTCCCAGAACAGCTCTGGATGGCTTCATCACTCACCAGTCAGTCAGTCATACCTGGGTGCAGCTGAGGAAGCCTCCTGCTCACTGCCAAAGATTCTAGCCCCAAAGTAATAGGCAGAAATTAAATAATCTAAGTAAATGAAGGCATTGCATAACCACGAAGAGGAAGAATTTGTCACAGAATAATCACACCACAAGGAATGGTGGGGACTTAGCTCTGCCTGCCCTGAGGCTGGGATTACTGATCCTGGAACAAAGCCAGCTTTCTTTCTTTATTGCCAGGGCCAATACAGAAACATGCATGCCTGGCTGCCTTTCCACAGGGGGCACAGGTCTTACATGCACAAACACTCATGGGTGCTACAGGCTGACTTAGGGCAGCTTTACATCATGGCCTTCACAGTTGAGTGATGTACAGAGCCAAGAGCTTTCAGTGGCTGAGGCAGCATGGTGCAGGTTAAAACCCCAAGGCACAGACAGAAGTGCAGCTCTCTTTCTGTAACTCATGGCACTTCACAGGAAGCACCATGAGTTACCGCAATCCCCCAGACCTAACAGGTATTCACTGTTGGGTCCCAGTGGTTGAGGGAGATCTAGCTTCAGTTTAGAGCAGCTATGAGTCTGCAGCTACTCTCTGCCAGCCTTACCCCTTCCCCACTTCAAGCCTTTGGCACTATCTTCAGAATGGGAGGGGGGAAAGGGAGCAGAGGGAGCTTGTTCTGGGGGTTGCCCAGTTGGCACTGGAAGGTGGGGGTCGGTGGATTGGAGCCTCCTCCCCCACCTTGAGGGGGTCTCCAATCCACCTGCCCCACCCTCCAGCACTGGCTGAAAAAACCCCAGACCAAACTCCCGCCACTCCCTTCCCCCTCCTCCCATTCTGAAGACAATGCTGGGAGTAGGACTGGGCTGCATCATCCCAGCTCTGCTCCAGGCGCACACACTGACACAAATTACTGAAGGCACTTTGCTTTGGAGTGCCTTCATCTGAAAACTCATGTAATGAGGTTTCAGATTGTCGTGGGACTGGGCACTATTAAAGCTCTCTGCAGCCATGCATTTGTGTTAGGTCACATCTATAGAGCGCTTTCAGGAGCCAGATCAGGTAAAAATTGTCACTTTTGTCTGCCCCTCCCGTGTCATGTCTCTTCTTGTTCTGGGACAGATGCTCAGAGGCAGAGTCCTCATTGGATATTCTAAAGACCTAGTCAAGAACATGGGGAGGATGTTCCCAAGATACCACACACAAATGGCATGTTGGGCATTTCCCTTCAGGGTTATATGGTCTAAGAGCATTGTGGGGACAATGCAACCCACACTGAGAAGCTGGCTCCCCTATCTCTTTAAATCAGCCTGGGAGTAGAGAATAAAAGCTGCCTGTGTGAAAATGCCACCTGCTTCCCTGCAGGCAGGATACCTTGACACTCAAAATATGGTGCTAATGACTGACAATCCTTACAGGGTGCTCTTTGTGCTGCTATGCAGCATGCTCTGCTCAACTGGTGCTCTAGAATAGCCTGGACATTTAAGATTCCCCCAGCCCTGCCAGATGAATTCCATTCAGTAACACAGAGCCCATGGGAGCAGAGAGGTACTGTGTTCCTGGGGCCTGGGCCTATGAGTATTTTATTTTATATGACAAAGCATGACTTTTATTTTAGAAGTCAACTATGCACTGGTTAATGTCCCTGGACAGCCGTATTCAGATGTGGGTTTTGGCTCTTGTTCTCATGAGAGAGATGGGCTGTGCATTGGATGGCCAGCCTTCTGGGAAGTCTGGGGGGTTCAGTGCAGACATGCAGAGCAGAGCTGTGGCAGGGAGGAACAGGTCAGATTTTGCAAGAGAGGAGAGAAGAGGACAGGTGTCACTCCAACCAATATCAGCAAATCAAGGGAAATCAGAAGTGACCAACTGCAGGGAAATAAAAATAAGCAGGGATGAAAACCCTGGGCAAAGAGAAAGGTGCTTCCCAACAGAATTACAGGACCAGTGAAAAGAGGGGAACAAAGACTAGAGAAGTATATGAAAGAGGAAGGAAAGGATGTGAAAAGCAGGGAAACATGGGGCAGAATCCCATTTCACCCAGTGGATCACCAAAGGGCAGCTTGAGGCTAACTGAATCACCTGATTCTTGTGTAGCTGCGATTCCATTGCCCCCTCTCTGGGCACATAAGTGCCCCCATTATGGGAATATAATCACCCTCCAGAGATGCACAGGCATCTCTTTCTTCCTATAATGGGGGCATCAACACAGCCAGAGGGGTAATAGAATTGGTCCCACACAATAGTCAGGTCACTCAGAGTTAGTTTCAAGCTGCACTTTGGTTGTCCAAGTGAAGCAGGATTATGCCCATGGGCTCCTTTTTCCTTTTCCCGCACTGAGGAGCCCAGGCACTGCAGAGCTTTGTTTGCAAGCCACAATGAGCCAGGCCTTGCACAGCTCCTGCTGCCTGTTTTATAAGTCGGAGGATACGTGCTCAGCACTGACACATCACTTCCTACCTACAAAGGACTGACCTAGTAGTCTTTCCTGTTCCTGCAAATACGGAAACAGAAACATGGAGGCAATTTGTCCAAGACCATGTGCCCAGCTAATGCTTTTTTCCAGGGTTAGAATCCAGGGTCTCTTGGCTTCCAGTTCTGCACTGACCGCATTAGATGACACATCCCCTGCACAGTCAGTACAGAATTAGAAGCCAAGAACACTGCTGTGCTGACCAACCTTCCTTCATGTTTTCATTTCCATCTTTGGAATCAGACCCCAAGCCTAGAACCTACCAAGCTGTGGTCCTATAAAATTCCACTGCTCTCTTTGCTCAGCATGGGGGTATAGGCCCCCATGTCTACGTGTAGTCCCAGTGTAGGCAATTACATCCTGCCATCCTCAATCCCAACCCTGGTAGTTTGAATGGGACCATGTAGGCTAGATCTTCAGCCAGTATTAATTGTTTTAGATCAATGGATACATGCACATTTATACCCGCTGAGGATCTGGCTCCAATTCTGTTTTACCCACTGTCCTAAAAACTGCCATGTAGCACTGCTGTACACAACAGCAGTTATGTTCCACCCCAGAAATGACTATTTCTGTGATGCATGAATCACATATCTGACCCACTGCATAAGGGTGTTGGGTTTTATGAAGGTTCGTCAAGTGCTTTGAGATTCCTGAGTGAAGAAAGGTAGAGAAACATAATGAATCTTAGTTACTAGGAGTAACTGTAACCCTGTAGTCTGAATTGGAAACCATGCAAGGTCATTTTACCCTGAGGAGAGTCACCCTGTTCACATATCCTTGGTTCATATTCAGGTAATATTCATGAGCCTGAATTAACCTGTTTTGTACTTACGGCAATTCCTCTTGGATCAACTTCTTGGTGAAGAACTCGTCTAGCCCTTCATCCACTCTAGTAATGCTCCTATCCTCATCATTGTCACAGGAGACTGGTTGGACCTAAAAACAATAACCACAGTCAGCAGGACAGTGTTGCAACGGCAGTGGATAGAGAAGGGAAGATGTCAGGAGAAAGTCAACTTTAGGGTGAACTATGCCAAGAAAAAACAAGAAATTATTCCCTAAAGTTCCCACTAAGCATGCTAGGATTTCTAGGGAGGTGGTGGATTCTCTATTACTGGAAAATTTAAAGGACAGGTCTGTCAGGAATGCCTTAGGCATAGCTCATCCTGCCATGGAGCAGGAAATGGACAAGATGGCCTCTGAACCTCCCTTCCAGCCCTATTTTCTATTATTTCTAGGATTATCTGTTCTATTGCACAAAAACAAAGATGTAGGGATGTATATCTGTGTGTGAATATCCCCCCCCCCCGCAACCCTGTATATAACTTCCTCATGAATCTTCTGATAATCAGTGCCATGTGGCCAAGTACTAGGAGGGACATAAAAAACACTCCAGATTAAAATCACGACCCAGATACCATTTGCAGCATGCAAAGTGTCCTCTCTGTTACAGAGCACACAGTGAAGGGCCTGAAAAATCCCCTTCACTGCCATGGAATACTGAGAGGCAAGGAATCCTGACTTAAAAGATCAAGCTCACAGAGGTACACCTAGATCCAAGATCCTAGCTGTATGACAAGGCTCTTCCAGCCTGCTGTCAAACTGCCCTGGTATTCAATGCTTCACTGTGTTTTGATGTTCACTGTGTTTTCATAGGTTTTCGATTACTACATTATAACCTAAGGCCTAGGTTGTGCA